AATTCCTAGAATGATCTGGACATTATCATACACTAGATAAGCTGTTTTTGACGGCCAATTGAGCAGACTCACAATGCATCCAAGACATGAATTGTAGTTCTCGAAGCAATTTTATGCATGAAATTCTGTGTTCTTCTCTTATCTAGCAAGAACAAAGGATTTAATATCTTGTGGAAAACTACTCTAACCAAAATACTCAGAGAAGAAAAATAATTCACCACATATGTATATAACATGTTCGTGACATAGCTTCAACACTCCTTCCAAAAGGATTATGTACTCTTCTCCTATCTACTGTTGTCTTTACCCAAGCATTTTTATAAAGTTCTGGTGGCAGTACGTTTATTATACGTACAGCTGTTTAGTGTAAAGGCAACAGACAAAAAGCAGATAAGCCAATGTGACGAGAAGTAAAATATGTAGATACATGGTACACAGACATTGCTTTATATATTGACTTGAAGGCAGCAATCCCATCCAAGTTGGTGTGACCAAAAGGAGAAATGCAGAAACAGCCTCACTAATGTGAAAGGAACAATCATTGGTTCATGACGTGCAAATATTGTATTGTAACTTGTTCCTCAGGTAAGTTTCCTAGTTTCCAATTTCCATGAAGTGAAGTTCTTAACTCGGTTCGACGGTGAACAGACAATAAATGGGAAATTTTCTTTCGATTATTTATAGCCAATAGGTTTCTTTTTATGAGGCTGAAATTATGATGCAGAATTTTAGAACAATCTCCAACTTCAGTTTATAGGATATCATTAAAATGGCCTTATAAGCTATACCAAATAGATATGATGGGCGCTGCATGTGGCCATGCTTGATCAATTCACTCCAAACAAGCAGCAAATAAGGGTTACAAAAGATAGCCATAGGGCTATATATATAATGTGTGTGCATACATATACATTATATCCGTGTTCTCAGTTCGGAGTAATCCATCCTTTTCCAGATTAAATGCTTTCACAGCAAAAAAAAAATGGCAAGCACATCTGAGACTGGGATCTTCTATATAAAACTAACCCCCACCTCATTGTTATGGTTATGAAAGGACAAAACTACAACGATTATGCTTTCTAAAGACAGGACATTATAATTTTGGTGACTAAAATATCTTTTCAATGATTTCAAGTTGTTGTCTAGTTTTTGTCTTTAAAGTCCTTTGATTCATATTGGTAAAATCTTGCTTCTGTTCCCACAAATCAAAAGAAGAAAAGAACATGAAAAGAGAGAGATAGAACCATATAAAAATGAACTCCGGAAAAAAAAAGATGGACGAAGCATTTATGTGAAATCTGAGGTGAAAAATAGCATCTTACCTGAAACCCCAACAAAATTGTGACTGCAATTTTTTCTTCAAAATTTGATCTTACTAACTAAAAAATGAATGCCAGTATAATATATATATATAAATATATGGTTAAAGAACCAACCTCTGAATCAATAGCCGGTACAGTTGAAGAAAATAAATCCATCAAGAGCTATGTATGGACTTTTATTAAATCCCAGCAAATCTTGTTATGGTGCGTCAATTTGTCACATCCCCAAAAGCTCAAGGAACTGAGGCATGACATTATCATAAATGTGCAGGTACTGGTTCTATTAGTACTGTGAAGAACAGTTTCTGTTGTCATTTCATAATCCCACTCTTCCCAGTTTTTCATGTTACCAAACTCTAGGTCTTGGAGTTGAGGGAAGGCAGCAGCAGAAGAAGAAAATGGAAGAGTGCCTATTCCTAATAACACAAGCCCCACTTTTTTCACTTTATGCATGTCTCTAATTAAGAGCAGTTGGAGAGCTGGCAGGATCCCAAGTGGAGGCAACTGCTCAATATTTATGAAGGAGCAAAGTTTAAGCTCCCTTAATCTTGCTAGTTGCATTAACCAACTTGGATACATGGCAAGCCCTTTATATCCAATATTTTTCAAAATTTCCAAGTTCAAAGATGGTTGCAGGGCTTCAAGAAGAAGAAGATGATCAATTCTCTGTATCTTTTATCTGTTCATCAAATCCAAGCACCGAGTCATGAAGATATTTCTTATTTAGAAGCTAAGCATTTGTAGCCTCCTGGACGTCTTTCACGTTTTCTAATCCTCTTATTTGGAGAGAGCCCCGAAGGTTGTTTAGCTGTTGCAAATCTCCTAAAGTCATAGTTTCACTATCATTATTATTGCTTCCCACCATCAAGTGTTCAAATGTGCAAAGAGAAGTTAATCTTCCCAACTGTATGGGAATAAATGTGAGATTATAAGTTCCCAGGTTATCTAAATGCCTCAGTTTGATTAGTGTTCCCATCCCATGAAAAAGTTCTTTAAGATAATAATGTCAGCAAATATTCAGGATTTGAAGGTTGTAAAAATGACACAAAGATTCAAGTAACTCTATTAAAGTTAAACTATAAAACAAGTCAATAAGTCTCAAATGTATTAGTTGTTCTACCTCTTTCGGGAGTTTATTAATTGAATTACGACTTCTAATAAAGATGCTCAAATCCAATGACCTATAACATGTCAATTTACCAAATAAATCAAATAAAGGTCCATCACTCTTGGAGTCATGGTGAGTAAACTCCACCAAAAGGCTTCGTAACTTCTTTAACTTGTAAATAGAGACAGAAAATGGTGAATTTTGCCCAGCAAACATCATTAAAGGACACATTTTTTCACATAAAGACTTTATTTTACGCACTTCAATATCCCTAGGTTCTATTGAAAAACATTCATTTTTGGCTAAAAATTAAGCAAAATCATGCACTATGTCATGCATCTTACATAATAATTTGGCTTTATCAAAATGATCATTTCCGAAGTCTTGGAAAAAGAGCACATAACCAAATTATCAAAGTACACATGACCAAGAATTTCCATATCATCTTTAAGATAGCCTTGCGCCATCTATAATCTAATCAATTTCTCTCTCCCTATCTCGTAATCTTTTGGAAAGATGGCACAATATAAGAAACACTGCCTTACTTCAGAAGGAAAATCATAATAACTCAACAGCACATAAGGAAAAAGCTCTTGTTCAGCCTCTTTTAGCTCCCATGTTTGGTTATCTAAGTCTCCCCTTGTTCTCTAGCTTTCCTAAATCACAAAGACCTCCAAGTTACTTTGCAGCAAGGGGCAAGACATTACACTTACGTGCAATTTTCCCACCAATCTTTTCTAAATGCTTGCATTCTTCATCTGTTCTACCAAAGAAAGCTATGTTGCTAAACACAGACCAACATTCTTCCTCTGACAATTTCTCCAAGAAAATCATGTGGGTGCTTCTACTTCCCATGATATTTGCAACACTCTCCTTCCTTGTGGTCACCAAAATCTTACTTCGTGGAAGACCACACTTGAGACAATGTTCCAAGCATGCCCATTTTGAGGAATCTTCATTCCACACATCATCCATGACAAGAAGAAACTTCTTGTTTTCAATATATTGTTTTATTGCTTGCAGTGGATTTTCTAATTCAAATAGATTTGGGGTGCTACCAGTAATTGATTCCTGGATTGCCTTAGCAATCTAATCTCATCAAAAGGTCTGAGACACACACCCATATCCTCTTTTCAAAACGCTCCACTACATCCTTATCATTAAGGCTAGTTGAGCCAGAGTTGTCTTTCCTAATCCTCCCATGCCAATAATGGAGATTGTTTGGAAAGGGCGATTCTTGACTACTTTCTTCCAACAGCATCCTTATCACTCTATTTTTAGTTTCTTCTCTACCGTGCACCTCAATTCATCGATGAAGAGTAGTCATTTGTCACTAAAGATCTGCTATTTCCCTTCCACCAAACTGAAACTCATACTTGATTCTCTCATTGGCAATAGCATCTAGTCTCTCATTCAGCTTTTTAATTTTGTGGGCAATGTCATGGCGCAAAATGGCTTGGTTGATGCGAAAGCAAGAGAAGGGAAAGAAGGAACATGCCTTGAGTATGGAGCCATTCTCAACCTTCTTCTCTTCAGATTCAATTTTTAATTGAAGTAGAGCAGTATTCCCTTCATCCAACACGTCCTCGATATCATAAGAAGCATCTTTCAGTTCCTCTAACCAGTTGCTCACATTGGCCTCCTTCCCATCATTTCTCTGCATCTTGAAGTACATCTTGAATGGCCTTGAAATTGCAGGTAAGCTTTTGGACTTCCTCTTCAAAACCCACAACCAGTCATACCTCATGTTCCACCTCTTTGTAAGCAATGGGAATCAACTGCTGTAGAACTGCAGATACAATTGCATCAGCCATTCTAAGGAGATCAGAAACAAAATCAAAATTAAGAAGGTAGATGAAGTCAACCAAGGGGCTTAAAAGAATGTTTCCCTCCTCCTTATAAAGTTTAATTAAATGAATGATAACAATTCTGATCATCCTTTTATTTTGATTTGTTTGGTAACAATTTGATCAATAATGGAGAAAGAATGACAGTTTTTGATTCATTTCACCTAACTTTCAACAACCACAACGTTATTTCCTATAGTTTCAACCAATTACTTGGATTCATTGCATTATTGAAGGTGCTTTTTCTAATGGTTATATCTTCTAAAATAAGTTTAAAATTATTGTTAAAATAATTATTGATTAAAAGTATTTTCAGTTAGAAGTTGTAGATGTTTGATAAAAATAACTAATTTAACGATTACTCATCTTACATTGGTTACTTTCAAAATCCAATTTTCATCCATGTCTTCTGCTCTTTTACATAGTATCAAAAAAAATACAGATTTTTTCAGCAAAAGAAAAAAGAAGTCCTCATCTTAAAAAACAAATCTAACTTTCATATTGAATCTTGCAAGTTTCATATTTAAAAAACAAATTTTCCTTGAGTCTTTTCTTTTGAAAAAAAAATACTAAAACTTAGAAGTCAAAAGAGTTATACCAACATTTTACCCGTATTATCCTAAAATTAATATTTATATCATGATATAAATATTAATTATGTAGGATCTAAATAAACTACTACCCAAAAAATAAGAACACAAGTAAATCATATTAATATCAGGATTAGGGTCTCTAATCATCACAATAAAACTTCAAATAGTTGCAAATAAAGCAATTACATCTATTATGGGCCTAGCTGGCTAAATAAAATTAGCATCATTTGACAAATATGATTTCTTTTCCACTTTGCAATATGCTGAATTCACTCCACACAAGCAGCAAATAAGGGTTACAAAAGCCAGCCATAGGGCTATATATGTACACATATATCCCTATTCTCAGTTCTGAGTAATCCATCTTTCTTTTTCAGATTGAATTCTTTCATCATATGCTCTGCAAAAAAAAATGGCAAACACATTTGATGTTCAATTACGTATTTATCAATGAGACAAACTTAAGCAAAATTTTCATTTGGAACTGAGATCTTCTATATAAACTAAGCTCCACCTTATAGTTATGGATACGGAAGGACAAAAATCGAAACGATTATGTTTTCCTAGAACAAGACAGTAAAATTTCGATGACTAAATACCTTTTGAATGATTTTAGATGTCTTCTGGTTTTTGTTAACTTTAAAATCCTTTGATTCATATCGTTGAAATCTTGCTCCTCTTCCCACTAATCATAGAAGAAAAGACCATGAAAAGAGAGAACAGAAACACATGAAACTGAACTCAAGAAAAAAAAATATGGATGAAGCATTTATGTGAAATTTGAGATGAACAGTAGCATCTTACATGGAACGCCAACAAAATTGTGACTGCAAACTTTTAAAATTTTTGTTAACTGATCTTACTGACTAAAAAATAAATGCTAGTATAAAAAAATTGTGGTTAGAGAACTGACCTGTGAATCAATAGTTGTTACAGTTGCAGAAAGTAGATCCATCAAGAGTGATGTAGTAGAGGCTTTTACTAAATCCTGCCGAATCTTCTCTTGGTCCTTCAACTTGTGACAGGCAAAAAAGCGCAAGGATTTGAGGAGTGGCATTACCATAAATGTGCTAGTATTGGTATTACTAGTACTATGATGAACAGTTCCTGTTGTGATTTCATAATCCCATTCTTCCCAGTTTGCCATGTCATCAAATCTAAGCACTTGTAGTTGAGGGAAGGCAGGAGAAGAAGAAGAAAATGGAGGAGTGCCTATTCCTAAAAACTCAAGGCCCACTTTATTCACTTTAGGCATGTTTTTAATATAGAGCACTTGAAGAGCAGGCAAGATCCCAAGTGGAGGCAACTGTTCAATATTTTTAAAGGACTCAAGTCTGAGCTCCCTTAGCCTTGTCAGTTGAATTAACCAACTTGGCCAAATAGCAAGCACCATATATTCATCAATATATAATATTTCCAAGTCCAAAGGTGGTTGCAAGGCTTCAAGAAGAAGATCATCAATTCTATCTGTGTCTGTTATCTGTCCATCAAATCGAAGCATCAACTTCAAAAGATGTTTCTTATTTAGAAGTTGAGCATTTGTAGCCTCCTGGACATCTTTCACGCTTCCTAATCCTCTTATGTAGAGAGTGCCCCGAAGATTGTTTAGTTGCCGTAGATCTCCAAGAGTCATAGCTTCACCATCATTACTAATGCCTCCCACCACCAAGCGTTCAAATGTACGAAGAGAAGTTAATCTTCCCAAACATTTGGGCATAAATGTTAGACTCGCAGTTCCCAAGTTATCAAAATGTCTCAAATTGATTAGTTTTCCCATCCCATGAGGAAGTTCTTTTAGATCCAGACACCAGCGAATATTCAGAGTTTGAAGATTGTATAAATGACATAAAGATTCAGGTAATTTTGTCAGTTCTGTATTCCAAGATAAATCAAGAAGTCTCAAATGTATCAATTGTCCTACCTCATTCGGGAGTCTATGGATTGAACTAACACCAAAAATAGGTCTGCTCAAATCCAATGACCTAAGACATGTCAATTGACCAAATAAATCAAGTAGAAGTTCACCACTCTCAAACTCATGGGAAGGAAACCGAAGCAAGAGGCTCCGTAACTTCTTTAACTTGTAAACAGAGACAGGAAACGGTGAATTTTTCTCACCAAAGATCATTAAATGACGTGTTCTTTCATGAACAGACTTTATTTTAGGCACTTCAATATCATTAGTTTCTATTATAAGACATTCATTTTTCGTCAAAAATTGAGCAAAATCTTGCACTATGTCATGCATCTTGCATATTAATCTGGTTTCATCAAAACAATCATTTTTTAGGTGCTGGAAAAAGGAGCGCATGGCCAAATTATCAAAGTACACCTGACCAACAATTTCCATATCATCTTTAAAGTAGCCTTGCGCCATCCACAATCTAATCAACTTCTCATTCTCTATGTGGTAATCTTTTGGAAAGATGGCACAATATAGAAACACTGCCTCACTTCAGACGCAATCATATACTCAACAGCATATGAGAAAAGCTCTGTTCAGCCTCTTTAGATCCCATATTTGGTATCTAGACCCTCCTCCCACTGTCTCTAGTTTCCTAAATCGCAAAGAC